CTAGGGTGTGGGGGGGGGGGGAGGGTTGGATGAACAGGGGATTGGGAAATGGGTGAGGGGATGGTGGGGGGGGGGGGTCCCTGATAGGGAATGGAGAGCAGGGGATGGGGGGGGAGAGGGGGTATTCCTGGGCTTATATATAATACTTTAAAGAATTACTCATCGAAATATATTCAGAAATATTCTCTGGCATTGCCTTCTCTGCCTTCTCTTCCACTGGACATGTGATCATAGGGTCCCGGTTACGATCCCAGGCGCCGGCGAGAAACAATGGGCAGAGTTTTTTTCACCTTGATGCCCCTGTTACCTAGCAGTAAATAGGTACCTGGGTGTTAGTCAGCTGTCACGGGCTGCTTCCTGGGGGTGGAGGCCTGGTCGAGGACCGGGCCGCGGGGGCACTAAAGCCCCGAAATCATCTCGAGATAACCTTATAGTCAATCTTGAGATTATCTTGAGATGATTTCGGGTCTTAGTGTCCCCGCGGCCCGGTCCTCAACCAGGCCTCCTTTTTGTTACACATCCCCAGGAAGCAGCCCGTAGCAGCTGTCTAACTCCCAGGTACCTATTTACTGCTAGGTAACAGGATCATCAGGGTGAAAGAAACTTTGCCCATTTGTTTCCGCCTCCACCGGGGATCGATCCCGAAACCTTAGGATTACGAATACCGAGCGGTGTCCACTCGGCCGTCAGGCCCCCCTCACAACTACGCAAACTGTAAACCTTCCCATATTGTAAACCAAGAATGGAAAACCTGTTATAGTACCCAGTGCGGGTTTCTAACAAGTTTGAATTAATAAAACACTTGATCTATAAGTTTGTGTTTTATATATTTGAATGTATACAACGGAAAATACATTATGTCCTGCAGTATGCAATCTTCGATTAGTAAAATATAGTTTTGGTATTGTTAGAAGTCCCCAGAAATGTTGTTTTAAGAGTATTGTAGGAATCGAACTAGTAACCAAGATGTGACAGTGTTAAACGCTGCCGGTCGCGTCAAGGCCTCCGCCGTGAAAATGCAATAATGTTTAAAATCTCAATATATTACTTTCACAACATTGAAAGCTTCAACTTTTCCCTAAAAATGTAATCCACTGAAATATGTCTGGGGAACCTCCCCTTCTCTCTGTTTATCCTAGAAACCCACCAAAAATACGAGCATGAAAGTTTTCCATGTCTTAAACCACACGTCAGAGAGATCAAGTCAACTACGGGCTCACCATAGCCCGTGCTACTTGGAACATGTTGTTTCAAGTAGCGAATCTTAAACAACAGTCAGAGAGACCCCGTTGCTGCTCCGTCACTATCTTCCTCCCGTAAGACGCACTCCACCATCACCCTTGAGGGGGCACCGCCCCCCGGAGCACAGGCTGGAATATCACGTATTCACCAGACGGTCTTATAGCCAAACACGCAACACCAATTTAGGCGGAAGACGAAGCCGACTGAGTAACCATGTTGTGCTATTTAGCGCCTTAACGAGCAATTAGGTAGTTAGGAGAGAGAGATAATTGTATTCAGTCCATCTGTCAGGTGAGGACGCTTCTCGCGAGAGGGAAATGGAGAAGCAGACGAGCCGAAGGTTCCTGTGGTGGAGATGAGGGCGGTGGGAGCCGAGACACCACTACCACACTGGTTCGAGACTCCCGCTCGGGAATTATACCTTGACAAGTGGAAGCTGGAATTTATAGCTTGAGGATTGTTCGCTAAGAATTATTGTTTTGGGAATTGTTGGCTGAGAAATATTAGCTGGGAACTGTTCCTGGGAATGATAGTGTGGGAAATGTTGTCTGTAAATTACTAGTTGCAAAATGTAGGTAATGAATTAACAGCTGGGGACTCTGGTCTCAAGGTTCTGGCCATCGAATTGGTGGCTGGGAATTTTTGATCTGGAAACAGATCGCTAGGAATTTTTGATCTGGAAACAGATCGCTAGGAATTTTTGATCTGGAAACAGATCGCTAGGAATTTTTGATCTGGAAACAGATCGCTAGGAATTTTTGGCTGCGACCTGATAGCTGGGATTTTTTGCCTGGGACATTTTGGCTATCACTCCTGCTATCGTGGTATGCGCTTAAGCAATTATAAATATAATTGCTCTTAATTTGATTAATAGCAATTACATTTCCATCTTAATTTCAGTCATCTATTACCATGTGGGTGGTTCTATGACCATTTTCCTGACACACCAAGCCAACAGCTGTTACATTACAGCAAATAACAGCAAATAACATTACAGCAAATAACATTACAGTAAATAACATAAGAGAGTAGTAATCAGCCATCACTGAACCTACCCTCTGTATGGTAATGTCTCATAGGAACAAGTCCACAAGGGGCCTTGACAAGGGATTCGAACCCGTGCACTGGATGCCCTATACAGTCTCGAATCACTGACACTGGACAGAGAAAAGCTTAGGTGTTCCTTAGAGGGAATATTATGTCAGGTCTCTTGCTGTTGGTGGTGGTGGACCCGGAATGTGGTAGTGACCATGGGACAATCCATTCATCCACCCAGCTGACCAGCCAGTCATCCACCCAGCTGACCAGCCAGTCATCCACCCAGCTGACCAGCCAGTCATCCACCCAGCTTACCAGCCAGTCATCCACCCAGCTGACCAGCCAGTCATCCACCCAGCTAACCAGCCAGTCATCCACCCAGCTAACCAGCCAGTCATCCACCCAGCTAACCAGCCAGTCATCCACCCAGCTGACCAGCCAGTCATCCACCCAGCTGACCAGCCAGTCATCCACCCAGCTGACCAGCCAGTCATCCACCCAGCTTACCAGCCAGTCATCCACCCAGCTGACCAGCCAGTCATCCACCCAGCTAACCAGCCAGTCATCCACCCAGCTAACCAGCCAGTCATCCACCCAGCTAACCAGCCAGTCATCCACCCACCTAACCAGCCTATCATCCACCCACCTAACCAGCCAGTCATCCACCCAGCTAACCAGCCAGTCATCCACCCACCTAACCAGCCTATCATCCACCCAGCTAACCAGCCAGTCATCCACCCACCTAACCAGCCTATCATCCACCCAGCTGACCAGCCAGTCATCCACCCAGCTAACCAGCTAGTCATCCACCCACCTAACCAGCCTATCATCCACCCAGCTAACCAGCCAGTCATCCACCCAGTTAACCAGCTAGTCATCCACCCACCTAACCAGCCTATCATCCACCCACCTAACCAGCCAGTCAACCACCCACCTAACCAGCCAGTCATCCACCCACCTAACCAGCCAGTCATCCACCCACCTAACCAGCCAGTCATCCACCCACCTAACCAGCCAGTCATCCACACAGCTGACCAGCCAGTCATCCACACAGCTAACCAGCCAGTCATCCACACAGCTAACCAGCCAGTCATCCACCCAGCTAACCAGCCAGTCAACCACACAGCTAACCAGCCAGTCATCCACCCAGCTAACCAGCCAGTCATCCACCCAGTTAACCAGCCAGTCATCCACCCACCTAACCAGCCAGTCATCCACCCAACTAACCACCCAACTAACCAGCCAATTACCCACCCAACTAACCAATCAATCATCCACCCCAGCTAACCAACCAGTCATCCACCCCAGCTAACCAACCAGTCATCCACCCAGCTAACCACCCAATCATCAACCCAGCTAACCAACCAATCATCCACCCAGCTAACCAGCCAATCATCCACCCATCTAACCAGCCAATCATCCACCCCAGCTAACCAACCAGTCATCCACCCAGCTAACCACCCAATCATCAACCCAGCTAACCAACCAATCATCAACCCAGCTAACCAGCCAATCATCCACCCCAGCTAACCAACCAGTCATCCACCCCAGCTAACCACCCAATCATCAACCCAGCTAACCAGCCAATCATCCACCCAGCTAACCAGCCAAACAACCATCCGTCAACCAATCGAACGAAACTCAGTCATTTAAAACGCCACTTTTTCCCCGCCTTTGAATTTTTTTATCGTGTATGTAAAACCCATCAATATCTGGCCTTCGCAAGCAGATGGTTGAGAGATTTATCTTCCTGGAGCCAAAACGGTTGGAATTGTTTGGTGAGACGCCAAATGGAGAGGGGGAAACGAGGGGAGAGGAATGGAATAGGGAGGGTAGAGAGGGAAGGAGGGGGAAGGAGGGAATGGGGAGAGAGAGGAAGTAGATAGATGTCTACTTGAAGAATAGGGGTGGGAACCTCGGTACAGTTTCCCTTTGTTACGTTTGTATGGGATCATTCAGCCCTTCCGTGAGAGGGTGATTTGGCGACCATTCCTCCTAGCCAACCTGTTCTCCTGGCCAATCTGATCTCCTAGCCAACCTGTTCTCCTAATCTGATCTCCTGGCCAATCTGTTCTCCTGGCCAATCTGATCTGGCCAATCTGTTCTCCTGGCCAATCTGATCTCCTGGCCAATCTGATCTCCTGGCCAATCTGATCTCCTGGCCAACCTGTTCTCCTGGCCAACCTGTTCTCCTGGCCAATCTGTTCTCCTGGCCAATCTGATCTCCTGGCCAATCTGTTCTCCTGGCCAATCTGTTCTCCTGGCCAATCTGATCTCCTGGCCAATCTGTTCTCCTGGCCAATCTGATCTCCTGGAGAACCTGTTCTCCTGGCCAATCTGATCTCCTGGCCAATCTGTTCTCCTGGCCAATCTGATCTCCTAGCCAACCTGTTCTCCTGGCCAATCTGATCTCCTGGCCAATCTGTTCTCCTGGCCAATCTGATCTCCTAGCCAACCTGTCCTCCTAGCCAATCTGATCTCCTACCCAACCTGTCCTCCTAGCCAATCTGATCTCCTACCCAACCTGTCCTCCTAGCCAATCTGATCTCCTACCCAACCTGTCCTCCTAGCCAATCTGATCTCCTGGCCAATCTGTTCTCCTACCCAACCTGTTCTCCTGGCCAATCTGATCTCCTACCCAACCTGTCCTCCTAGCCAACTATCCTCCTACAAAGACAGTCGCATTCCGCACGTATGCGACACCTAAGGCCAAAAATCGTCGTACTAGAAAATGGAAGCGTCTGGCGAAAGTGACGTACTGTCCCGTTTTCTGTTGTGGGTCCTCTGGCAGGTTAGGAGAGACCACTGTAAATTGACTGTTTCCTTGACGTTGGGGAACCTTAGAAGGACGGACTGGATTCAGGGCGGCTTGTGTGTGTGTGTGTGTGTGTGTGTGTGTGTGTGTGTGTGTGTGTGTGTGTGTGTGTGTGTGTGTGTGTGTGTGTGTGTGTGTGTGTGTGTGTGTAGACTCCGTGAGTCTACAGGGACCGGAGTCTGCTTCTCCTTCAGAGGTTCAAAGAGAATTGAGGAATCATCCCATAGTACCATATGTTCGAACCTTCTTCCGGTACTGAGTACCACTGAGGTTACAATGATACATTTTAAAAGTACGGTTAAACTAAGCTGTGTTGCAGGCGATGAGTCACAATAACGAGGCTAAAGTATGTTGACCAGATCACACACTAGAAGGTGAAGGGACGACGACGTTTCGGTCCGTCCTGAACCATTCTCAAGTCGATTTGAGAATGGTCCAGGACGGACCGAAACGTCGTCGTCCCTTCACCTTCTAGTGTGTGGTCTAATGTGTGTTGCAACGATGGCAGTTGCATTTGCTAAGCCTTATGTGAAGCACAAGTTTGCCTGCATCTTGAGTACGCATCACTCTTCTAGATAGCCTGTCCCTCTATGTTCAATCCGGCCTTCTAAAATAACGTCGCTTTTCGCACGTATGCGCTATGGCCAAAAATGGACGTAATTTGAAATGAAATCGGCTCACAAAAGTAATGTACGGTCCCTGTTTTCTGTTTGAGTCCCCTGGCTTACTCGGTTAGGTCAGGAGAGGAAACTTTCAATTAATGGCTTTCATTACGTTTTGAAACCTTAGGAGACCTTCCTGCCCTCCTAACCTACCAGAGGACCCTTAACTTTCTGTTTTGGGGAAAAAAAATCAAAATTTGTTTTAAGTTAGTTTTCATTTTCAAATTACGTCCATTTTCGGCCATACGGATAAACGGCCACATTCAGACACAATTTGTAAGAGTTCGAATCCTCGTCACGGCCCTAGTGGATTTCTTCAGGACAGTTTGTTAGTTATTAAAATTCTGGACAAGTTAGAAAACGTGAGAAAACTCATCTCTAATCTTGACTAGTTCCAGTTAGATTAATCATCAAGGCATTCAACACCGGAGAGATGCAGGACGAAGGAAGTCATGTATGAGGCAAATGTTCTCCACGTGGACCAACTTCGTGTCCAGCAAGACGTTGGCAGTCACAACACAAGACGCTCAGCTATCAACAGCTTCAGCTTATAAAAGGCTGTGCCTCTTATAAGAACATCGTTCTTATAAAATTCATTCCGAGGATTACTTGCGTTTTGGAAAATGCTTTCTCAGCATGTAGAAGGGGGGAAGGGAACTATCGGGGGGAAAGCACCAAGCCATTACGACTATATAGCACTGGGAAGGGATCAGGATAAGGATTTGGGATGGGACGGGGGAAAAGAATGGTGCCCAACCACTTGTGGACGGTCGGGGATTGAACGCCGACCTGCATGAAGCAAGATCGTCGCTCTACCGTCCAGCCCAAGTGGTTGGGAGTAACTCAATAGTTTGACCTGAGTTCAAGCTTATTATGATTTATAATGTATATAATTTGTGATGTATTTTATTTATGATGTATGTGATTTATATTTGATGTGGCTATAAAATTTATCCACAGTTGTGGATACTTTATATATCCATAACCTCTCCTACAATATATCCACAGCTGTTCCATCACTCACTCCATCACCAACCACTGCCTCACCTCTCCTACAATATATCCACAGCTGTTCCATCACTCACTCCATCACCAACCACTGCCTCACCTCTCCCTCCCTCTCCCTCTCCCTCTCTCTCTCTCTCTCTCCCAAATTATCCCAATCCATCACCTCCTCCCTCTTTTACCACACCTTTTCTGCGCCTGATTTATCACTCTCTCGTCTGCTTCCCCCATCGCTCGTATTAATTATCTTCGTCTGGATTATCTCAGTTCCCCTTTCTCTCTATTTATCTTTGTATCTTAATTACGTCTCTTCCATCCTCCCGTCCGTTCTCCTTCTCCTTTATGTCCCTCTACGTTTATCAATATATTTTTTGGGTATTCTTTGGGGGCTTTTTTTGGTCCATTTTTTGTGTTTTTCTTGGTTTTGTCACATGTGTATATTTTTATGCATATTTTGCATATATTTTGTGGGTATATATATATATATATATATATATATATATATATATATATATATATATATATATATATATATATATATATATATATATATATATATATATATATATATGTCTCATTGAATATGACCGCATATTCTGTATTTACTATCTTCTGATTTAGGGCTTCTATCCCTCTAACTATTTGCTCTAACTCTAAGCCCTGATGCTAAGAAAATAGTTAGAGGGATAGAAGCCCTAAATCAGAAGATAGTAAATGCAGAATATGCGGTCATATTCAATGAGACATATATATATATATATATATATATATATATATATATATATATATATATATATATATATATATATATATATATATATGTCGTACCTAGTAGCCAGAACGCACTTCTCAGCCTACGATGCAAGGCCCGATTTGCCTAATAAGCCAAGTTTTCATGAATTGTTTTTCGACAACCTAACCTACCTAACCTAACCTAACTTTTTCGGCTACCTAACCTAACATAACCTATAAAGATAGGTTAGGTTAGGTTAGGTTAGGTAGGGTTGGTTAGTTTCGGTCATATATCTACGTTAATTTTAACTCCAATAAAAAAAAAATGACCTCATACGTAATGAAATTGGTAGCTTTATCATTTCATAAGAAAAAAAATTGAGAAAATATATTAATTCAGGAAAACTTGGCTTATTAGGCAAATCAGGCCTTGCATAGTAGGCCAAAAAGTGCGTTCTGGCTACTAGGTACGACATATATATATATATATATATATATATATATATATATATATATATATATATATATATATATATATATATATATATATATATATATATATATATATATATTTATATTTACGTACGTTCTAAAGAATATAAGTCAAGTTTTTGTGTTCACTCTTCACAAGGACGGGATGTATTTCCTGAGATAATCTCTGGTATCCTTCTCTCTGGACGCGATCACGTCAATTCATCTCCACGCTATATTACGGCGACATAAACTGATCTACATAATGTACATGAGGCTCAACAAGAACAAAATACAGCAGAGGGAAAATATGATCTAACCTGCACGTGTGATGTTAAATATTAATGACCATGTTTTGGTCAGTGAAAAACTCTTAGGAAATCGTACTTGAGCGATAGGAGGAGGGAGGTGAGGTGAGGGAAGGTGAGGTGAGAAGAGGTGATGAGGGAAAGTGAGGGTAGAGAGGAAGTGAGGTTGTAATTAGATAAATTAAGCAGGAAACTCGAGCCTGCGAAAATGAAGGTGAAGTAAACAGTGTAAGCTGAACAGGGAAGATGAAAAACGCAAAAAAACAATTAATAAAGGAAAAATAAATCAGAGAT